TTGAACTCTTACCGCCATGGCTTCCCTGCAAGGATGGACTGCACCCTCAGCCCTAAGCCAAACGGTGGCTTCTGTCATGGGTTCTTTGATAACAACAAAAAAAGACAGGTAAAACAGGAGGGATAGACAAGAGGCTCACTCTGCAATCAGAAAGTGGAGTGCCCTGGATAGAACCTCCTGCTCCGTCCAAGATTCCACATCTCGTAAATGATTCAAAAATGGGAATTAAAGGGATAAAATAAAGAGAAAGAAAGGCAGAAAGGGAGAGATGAGACCTAAGTGCAGAAGCCTGTGTACAACACAGACTGTGCAGCGTAGGCACTCGGGCAGGACGGCGTCAGAAGTGGATGAGAAAGAGCCTTGATCACCAGGGACGGTAATATTAGACAAGGAAATGAGTGTTGCAGAGTGAAAAGCCATAGACTGGCCTCCCAAGAGCTGCAAACAGGAGAGAACAGTGTGCACAGTGTGGAGAACGACTGAACCTCAAAGGGCCATGCTGGGCTCCTGAAGGAACTGACTAGATGTGGGAACCATCACCATCCCCGCCTTCACCTCACAGAACTCGCAACACAGTATCTGACCTCCAGCTCTGCTAGGAAGGACATCACAGGCGTGGTAGACAACCAAGTCAAGGAGAGGCAACTGAACACGCCAGGAGCCAGAGGCCAGATCTGGGCACCGGCACAGAGGTGGGGAAACAACTCATCTTTAACATCTATTCTCTGCTAAACTCCAGAGCACTGGTTCTCAACCTTCCTGATGCTGCAGCCCTTTAATACAGTTCCTCATGTGGTGGTGACCCTCAACCACAAAATTATTCTCACTGCTACTTCATAACTGTAATTTTGCTACTGTTTTGAATCATAAAGTAAATATCTGAGTTGCAGGATATCTGATGTGCAAACCTCCTCCCCCTGCCACCACCACCACTGTGGGGCTCGAGACCCACAGGTTGAGAACCCCTGCTCTACAGGGAGGGAAGGAAAGGCAAAGTACAAGAATGAGTTTTACACTGTCCAACACACCACAGTCTACAAAGTTCTTATGACTGTGCCTAGGATCTGAGACATCGATGATACAAACCCTTGGAATCACTGTCTTCCTCCAACCCCACTATACATCACTGTATTCCATGGGAGGGATCACTACTTATCTTGCTTATGGTCATGTGGCCTCATGCACTTGAACAGAGACCCCACAGTGGTATATGTGTGGTAGAGGTGCTTCCTAGTTCCCAGCAGGCAGGAACAGAGAGCCAGGAAGGGACCAAGGACAAGGCCCCCCACCAAAGACCCACCCCCAGTAACCCTCTTCCTCTGCTAGATCTAAAGTCCTGGCATTTTCCAGCTCCCCTAAAATAGCACTATCCTAAACTGGGGACTAAGCCCCTAACACATGAACCTGCAAGGGATATTTCATAGTCAAAACACATAAAATCGTGTCACCTAAAAGTAGCTTTTCAAGAGGCAGCGAAATGGCTCAGCAGACAAAGGTGCTTGCCACTAAACCTGAGGACCTCAGTTCAGGCCCCAAAACACAAGTGACAGGGAGACTCCCTTTGTGTTTGCACATCGTTCTCTGTCCTCAACAAGTAAGCCATGGCAGTAGCCGGGCAGTAGCGGCGCACGCCTTTAATACCAGCACTTGAGAGGCAGAGCCAGGCGGATCTCTGTGAGTTTGAGGCCAGCCTGGTCTACAGAGCGAGATCCAGGACAGGCACCAAAACTACACAGAGAAACCCTGCCTTGAAAAGCAAAAAAAAAAAAAAAAAAAAAAACAAGCAAGCCATTGCTCATGTGGGCGCATCTCACACATACACACACACACACACACACACACACACACACACACACACACAAACACCACCACACACAAATACAAACACCACACAAACACACACACAAAAATAAAAACACACACACAAACACATATTAATTAATACTTCCTTTTTAAAATAAATGTAAAAGTAGCTTTCTAAGCGGGGGCTGATAGCGCAGGCCTGTAATCTCAGCTATTTAGGTTGAGGTGGAAAAATCCCAAGTTCAAGGTCAGACCAGGGTTCAGAGTAAGTTGTCTCAACTGAGACCCTATTTTAAATTATAAAAAGAAAACTAGAGCTATAGCTCACTGGCAGAGTACTTGTCTAACATGTATAAAAACTTAAACCCAAGCTCAGAATAGAGTAAGAGGTTAGCATGTACAAAGCCCTGAGTTCAAACCCAGCACCAAAAGGAAGAGAGAGAGAGAGAGAGAGAGAGAGAGAGAGAGAGAGAGAGAAAGGAAAGAAAGAAAGAAAGAAAGAAAGAAAGAAAAAGAAAGAAAGAAAGAAAGAAAGAAAGAAAGAGGGGTTGGGATTTAGCTCAGTGATAGAGTGCTTGCCTAGCAAGCGCAAGGCCCTGGGTTTGGTCCTCAGCTCCGGAAAAAAAAAAAAAGAAAGAAAGAAAGAAAGAAAGAAAGAAAGAAAGAAAGAAAGAAAGAAAGAAAGAAAGAAAGAAAGAAAGAAAGAAAGAAAGAAAGAAAGAAAGGTGGATAGATAGATGGATGGATGGATAGATAGACAGACAGACAGACAGACAGACAGACAGACAGATAGATAGATAGATAGATAGATAGATAGATAGATAGATAAAAACCAAGTACCCTTCTCAGTTCTGAAGTCACATCTTACTCTCCCCAGGTGGTGGTACTATGAAGAGGTGGCAGAAGTTCTGGTGAAGTCTGCCTAGAGAAACAGGTCACTAGGGGCTGTTCCATCTGCTTCTCACGTTGGCCTGCGCGCTCTGCTTCCTTGAGTGGCCTTAGCTGCTCCACCATGCCATGCTTTCTAACACCAACTGCACAGTGAGCCAACATAAACCTTGCCTCTCAACGGCTACTCCTGTGAGAGAGTCTTATCTTAGCAACCAGAAAACTACCACACTTGGCCAAATCAGTCTTTTTGTTTTCCAGGCATTACAGGCAAACAAGGAAGAGTTCGCCCCTCGCTTGAAATGTCCACCTCCTTTATCTTCTATCTTTAGCTATGAGCCTTTTCAAATTTACTGGAAAGGAAGATGTCTTCCCTCACACCCACCCAAATGTAACAGTTTTTGACCTTTCTCTGGAAGCCCCACAGCACTTATGAATGAAAATGCTGCCATGTTGGGCACCATCCACCCGTGTTTTTCACATGTATGAGCTGGTAAAGTCAAGTGCTGAAAAAAACACTGGCTTCTCAATGAGCTGTTAAAGTGCCACACGAAAAGACTTCACAGTATCAGGCACCCTGGCCCAAATTATCAAGTTATAAACCCTTGTCATTTTCCCTGAAATAGAGATAACCAAACAGGATGATTCAGAGCCTGCAAACGGTCCCAGTCTCTGAAATCATCGCTCACATGGACAAGAAGCCTCTAGAGCGCTGTCGGGCACACAGAAAGTTCCAGCTCCTTCCAATCTGTGGAAACCAGTTAAAACAATTGCTATTTCTCACACCTGCCCGGCAGGAACAGTCTATGAGCAGGGCTTGAAAAGCAACCCCTCCACCATGGAGAATGCCATTTTACATGTCCCAAAGAGTTAGGCCAGACGCTAGGCAGGCTCCACTCTTGAAGAATTTTTAATATCGCCTACCCACAGGGTCCACACAACCTGAAAAACAGTCTTTCCAATAACGTTGGAGGTAAAAGATGCAGTGGCAGTCACTGTGGGTAATGTGGTCAAAATATGCTATAAAATGTAATCTTTCACTCCACTCTATCCGGGTCTTTTTAAAAGGTACGAAAATAATTAACAAATTAGGTAAGTGTGATCCCCAAATCATGTGGAATACCATAACAGAAAAACCAAACAATCCCAGAGAAAATAATACTAGAACGTCCATGTATGCCCAACAAAATAAGGATCACCACCCAGAACTCCAATGTATACCAAACAAAATAAGGATCGAAACCACCCCAAATCAACCCACAGGCTAAAAAAAAAAAAAGGAAACTTCTGAAATTTTGCCTCTCATTTGGTGGTCTCCCTCCCCCGCCCCCAATAACTCTCTATATTCTAAGAATAAAATATTCCGGACAATTTCTGTGAAACCTGCCTCTCCAGCCCATCCACCTCGCGATGCCCCAAGATCTGCTGGGTGACATATGAGATCCAAAGTGGAGGGATAAAAATAGCCTGGTCCTCAAAAAGGCAGATAGCCGCCAGACAGCTGAGTCACTTTGAACCCATTTTGACTACTGAAAGGGGCATTTCCCCCTGCTTCTGCTTCGCACGCTTTCACAACCTCACAACCCACCGAGTTGGAAACCTCCACCAGCCTCCCTGGTGGAAGGCCAGGATGCCTTTTAACTTCCCCTCCTCCTGCGGGGTCACGATTCGGGAGCGAACTTTTAATAATTCACATAGCGCACGTCAGCCCAGTGACTCACTTAGAAAGGAAGGATTTGAGTAAGGCTTTGGGGAGCCATCATAAGCTAGCGACAGGCCCCTTGTTTCTGCTGCCCTAGTGGACCACCCGGACCTGACAATGGCCAGAAAGGAATGGGATGGGAAGTAGGGGGAGGCGAGCTCAGAAGCCATCAGCATTGTCCCGCAGTGGCAAACCCCGGGCAAGGAAAAGCTTCTAGACTAGAGAGACAGGCTGTGCGCGCCGCGGGCTAGGGGACTCTCACGTACCACGTCCCCGCCCTCTGTCACCCGCGAAAGCAGCTCGGAACCCTGGACTAACTCTTCTTTGCCTTTCTCGGTGCTGGAGCTGTGGGCGGGATGCCCTAGAAGCCTGGAGCCCTGGAAGCCCAGCCGCAGGCTACGGAACGAAGGCCCCAGAGGACCTTGTCTCCGGCCGCCGCAGCCCGGGGGGCGCTCACTTGGCGCTGGGGAGCCAAACCCTGAGCCAGGAGGAGAAGCAGCTGGAGGAGAACAGGGTCCCCGGCCCGCAGCTCATCTGGTCCCCTGCCCCGCGCGCCACCCAGTTCCTAGGCCGCCGGTTGCGCGACCACGCCGGGGATCTTCCTTACCGGGGAGTCGTAGGAGAAGGCGCACTCGTTCTTGTAGACGCGGTCCCCCGACCTGGGCACGCGGATCGTGGGCATGTGCGGCACCAGTAGCTCGCCCAGGTCCCCTGTAGCCATCTTCCTGCCGCCGCCCGGCACGCTGAACAGGGCGCCCCGGCGCTGCATGGCCGCGGAGCGCAGCGGGCCTGGGAAGAAGCGCGGCGCAGCGGGAGAGCCGGCCCCGGGCGCAGAGGCTGGAGATCCGCTCCGGTTGAGGATCGACTCCAGCTGGGGAGGCTCGGCCCCTGCCCCGGCGGGCGGGCTGGCGGGCGGGCGCTGCTATTTTTAATCCAATGGCGAGTCGCCGGCCCAGCTGCAGCGTCAGGCGGGGCGCGCGCCAGCCGCAGCACCGGGGAGGGGGATGCCGAGCAGGTGGGGACGCAGGAATCGGAGCCGGGGAGGTCCAGGGGTCCCCTAGCACGCAGCCCGGCCCGCGGTGGGTCCCACCTCGGGGATGCAACCCCCAACTGCCCAGGACTAGGTCCGGGGAAGCCCGCACAAAAAGCGGTACGCAGCGCGACCTCCCCCATAGATCAGGAAGGGGTGGGTGGGACTCTAGTGTTGCCTCATTCTCAGGCTCTTCCTTGCTCCTTACTTTTTAACATTCAAAGCTCCATAAAAGACACTAGGATCCAACAGGGCCTAGAGAGGGGAGAGGTATATATTATTTTCTTGCGAAAATATATAGTTTTCTTATATGTTGCAAGGGGAGGGGCCATCGGGATCTACCCTCCCCTTTCAGGATAAGGGTGTCTGTTTTTCTCTGCTTTACAGTATCTCCTGTATGACTCAAGGTCCCCAGTTGAACATTCGGTGGCCTGATTTTAGGATCCATGTGCAAACGTACATAGTCCTGCCCTTGCTTGTGAGTTCTTCAAAATAAAATAATGGATATGGGGGGGCTTAATGATGTGCCAATAGAGCATGCCCCATGGCATATACTTTCATTTCTATCATTTTCTCTAAAAAAGAACAAATAAGTAAATGACCCATGCAATCAGGCGATGGAGACCGGAGGATCAGGAGCTCAAGATTAACCTGGGCTTAGCTTTATGAGATGCTGTCTTCTAAAAACAAAACAAAAAAAGATACCTATCTTTCCTACAATGAGGTTTAGTTCCATTCTTACGGCGCAGATCTTATTGCATTGAGGTTCGCTAACTACATACAGCATACTACCAGAACATAGCACTTCAAGAGTAGCAAATCCAAAGTATTCTGTAAGACTCTACAGATAGGATGATTCTTAAAGTGTTGTTGCTGTTACTAAATATCTCTTCCTTAAATTGCTTCAGAACAAAGAATTAGACACATCTCTTGGCTTCCTCGCTGTCCAGTAGGATCTGTGTCTGTTCACAAATTGGCTATAGAGAGAAACTTGATTTAAAATGTCCAAAGCTTAAAATTCAATATTGGATTGAATGCAAATCAAATCAGTGAGATTTGTTTCTCATCTTTGCAGATGATGAAAGATTTATCAAGTTAGTCTGGGTTTGAGAAATGCCATCATACACATTGTTGGTGGGGACAAAAACTGCAGACCTCTGACAGGGATTTTTGTTTTTATGTTTGTCATTGTTGTTTGTATCCCAAGCTGATCTTGAACTCCTGGTGATCCTCCTGCCTCAGGCTCACCCGTTATCCCCACTTGGTCCCCCAGAGCTGGGATTTCAGACCTGTGCCATCACGCCTGGCTTTCAGGAAGGAAATTTAATAACACTGATGTGAATTTTATATGCATATACTGTTTTCCCAGCAATCTCCTATGTGCCATTCATGCCACATTTAAATTCAGTCTGGGCAGGCTATTTGTTTGAGCAGTGTTTATGATCGCAACTGGGAACAAAGAAAAGATCCATCGTTAGGAAGCGGCTACTGTAGCGGCTACTGTAGAGCACCCACTGAAAACAGTGAAGTCACTCTGCACCGTCATCAGTCACGTCACTAGATGGAAACAGAATGCAGTTCAGTGTGGGGAAGCCAGGGCTGTGTGAAGCTGGCTACCCACAGTGTTCCGATGGGCCTTCCTCCCCGTCAGCTCTGCCAGTTCCTGTCCACATTTGTATGCATGCCTTCTGGGCCCCCATAAATCTCTTAGAAAATGTGCAAACTGTATAATTGTCAAGATTGTGGAGAAGAACAGAAAACCTGCAGTTACAGGGAGTGCATTACCACTTTTCTATAAGATTCTAATGGTTTTGTTTCTCTTTGCTTGTCTGTAACACTGGGATTGAACCCAAGAGCCTGCTACTAGTCAAGGACTCTGCCACTAAGCTACGTCCCCAGCTCTTTTTAAAACTATATATTGAGACAGGGGCTAGCTAAGTTGTCCAGGCTGGCTTTGAACTTGCCATCCTCCTGCCTCAGTGTTCCCAGTAGCTGAGATTATAGGCTGTGAGCCCCATACCCATTTGCAACATCTTATTAGGTACATGCATTTCCTAATTAAAACCAGGCCTCATAATATGGCTCAGCAGGTAAAGGTACATGTTTAAACCTACTGACCTGAGGCCATTTCCCAGAGCTCACATACAGGTAGAAACAGAGAATTGACTCTAAAGTTGTCTTCTGACATCTACACGCTCCAAGTGGCAGCCCACACACAGACACTAATAAAAAGAATTAACTAAAATTCAAGTATAAAAACATCTTAGCTTCAATAGCCAGTAACAGAAGTTGAAGGCCGTCACTGTATCACTGCAGTGATGTCAACCCTTTTCATATAACAACATAGATTAGAATGATGGGTAATAAGTAAGTACTGTTGTACACCCGTAATCCCACGGTGGGGAGGGGGGGCAGAAGATATCATAAATTCAAGGTCAGCACTGGCTTCCCAGTGAGTTCCCGGCCAGCCTGAGCTACAAAGAGAACCCATCTCAAAACAATACAAATTACAGGAAGTGATATTTGTAAAACACACCAAAGTCAAAAAGGCTTTCTACAGCAGAAATGACTAGTCTGGGGACTGTGATAACTTCAGGCTCCACCTATGGCCTTCCAGAGAGTTAATGAGTATGTGCCAAGTATGCAGCATATAAACATATATTTACATACACATAAATATCGCATACAGAAACAGATATATGTAAAACCTGTCTGAATAGCACAATACCAGTGGCATCCCAGATGACAATTCTAATCACAACAGGGGAAAGTGGACATCAACTAAACATAAAGAGATAATTAAACTAGGTACATCTACTCAAAGATGCAAAACATAAAATGATCATTATGAACTTGGTCTTAATAATTTTACTGTATCTTGGTTAGCATGTAATTCTTGCGTAATACCATTGAAAACAAGTTAAATAAGGCCAGGCATAGTGGCACACACCTCTAATCCCAGCACTCAGGAAGCAGAGGCAGACAGATCTCTGTGAGTTCGAGGGCAGCCTGGTCTACAGAATAAGTTCCAGGACAGCCAGGGCCTCCAACAAGATTATATGTGCTGTATAATATAAAACATTATGAAGACAAAAATCTGAGTAAAAGAAACTGAAGAAAGAAAATGTCTTAATCAAGACATTTTAAGGCTGGACACAGTGGCACTTGCCTGTAGTCCCGTCTACTTGGGAGTCTCAGGGAAGAGGATGTCTGGGTCCAGGAGTTCAAGACCAGCCTGTGCAACACACTGAATCCATCCAAATGGAAGGGAGGAAGGAAGGAAGGAAGGAAGGAAGGAAGGAAGGAAGGAAGGAAGGAAGGAAGGAAGGAAGGAAGGAAGGAAGGAAGGAAAGCATAGGAGGAAAATCTGGCTCAGTTACTGCAAACTTTAAACATAGTTTTTCAAATTCTAGATAGGGACTCATCACTGGACTGCTTTTATTTCGAGGCCAGTTTCTGCACATAGCCCTCAATCAAGAAGCAGACTGAAGAAGCAATGATGAATGAACACTTAACTTCTAACAAATCCAATGTCTCAACATTTCAGACTCGCTTTTGCCTCATCAGAGGACTACGGTCCCAGGCCATTCTGCTTCTGCCAAGCTTCTCCCATGATGTCCTGGCAGAGCCCAGCTAAGCAGACAGCATTCTGGGGCCCCTCCCCTGCCCTTCAGAGTCCACCTTACCCCACTACTTCTGAAGAGATCAACTTACTGTTCCCTGAGGAGAGATGAAGGGGCGCCAGTCTCAGTCGAAAACGCCCCCCCTCATATCTATCATCTCAGCCCTCTCAAGTGCAGGTGTTTTTCCGTGAAGTCCTTTCTGACAGCTCCAGTCACTCTCAGAGATCTGTCTTTACAAATGACAGCAGTGGGCTCCGCAGGTAAGAAAGTATACTGCTCTTGTAGGGGACCTGAGTTCAGTTCCCAGCACCCACACCGGGTTCACAACTACCTGTAACTCCAGCTCCAGAGGGATCCAACACTTCCCACCTTCACAGGCATCCTGCATGCACACGAGTGTGAGAGAACATATGAACATGCACATAATTTAAAACAATAATAAATCACAGCATCTCCGTGGTGGAGAATTCATACTTAACATATGCAGAGCCCTGCATTTGACCCTGAGCACATAAAAATAAATGCCAATCAAAATTATGACCCTTGTTGCCTGTCTGTCATCAGAAACTCCATTATGACATGTCTTATACAGTTGCCCCATTAGCATAAGTTCCGTGTCTAAATCTGTGAGCTATGTATTTGTGCAATGTTGACTGCCCAGAACAGTTCTATTTGGGGCATTCAGTAAGTCCCTGAGAAGTGACTGACTCACCTTACTGACATTGTAATAAATGCTCTGTGCAGTCAGCTTTGTGCATTTTTGGTTAAATTCATTGCTGCACAAATTTTATTTCAAGAACTGACAGAGGTTACATCAAATGTGATATGAATATTAGTTATAATGACTAATGCCAAAAGGGAAAATCAAGGGAATCTACAGAGCAAAAAAGATATCATAATTATTTCAATTAATGAAATAGCTCTTGACCTCAGAGGCTTGCCAGTAATGTCAGTGATCCCAAAGAGCCATTATGGCGAGACTTATGGAGAGTGAACCCTAAGACCTTCTGTCCTGTGGGTAACCTTCATGAGAAGCGCCATCTGTTAACTGCAAAACAATAGGCACTGAGAAAAGAAAATTATGGTGTTTTCTCCTTGAGACAATCCTACAAAGCCATGAAGCACGCATAGATTACCCAGGGGCTGGGGAAATGACTCTGTGGGTAAGTGCTCTTGCTATGCAAATATGAAGACCTGAGTTCAGATACCCAGTGCCTATATTTTTTTTAAAAAAACTGGATATGATTGCTTTTGATTGTCTACCATAACCAGATAATTGGACTTTATTGCTGAAGATACAACACAGAACATGGAAAAATCAAGGTGAAAGTGACCTGAAAATGTCCCGCCTGCTGGCTAGCTTTCATAGTGCTCGAAGATGCTATGAAGGCCACTGAAGTAGAAAAGGTATCAGTGGTCTTAGCCAACAGTGAATACTGATTACCACAATACTGACCTTCCAGGCAAGACATGGTCACTGGTGCAAAAGTGGCATGAATATTATAGGGGTAACCAACCACTTTCTAATCAGATTTGAGGCCTGCTCCTCAAGAGAGAATTCACGACTGACACTGTAAACATAGTCAAACGTACATGGACTCAGGAAGTCATAAGCCCCAGCAGAGACCCTATTGATGTTGTTTGCTAAATGGACGTGTTGTCAAAGTGCCTTCTAAATATTTATGTTTATATCGGTAGTACAGTTCTCAACCTTGCCACAGAAGCTTTTTTCTGCAGTAAGCAGCAGTTAATGCAGAATCATAACTGTTCAACTTGCCCAGAATGAGTGACTA